GGAAGTATCACCACTTGTCCTTGGGAGCAACACATATAAGGCTCTTCTGTTGTGTGAAATTGCTCTGTAAGTCTCAGAAAATAGGTATCATGTCTTTCTCCCACCTCCCCTCAAGTTTTCTCTTTTTCTGAATAAACATACTTAAAAAAAGGGTTCTTGGACCTGGTCCCAATGAATGTGCGTGGAGGCTTCCCTATACCTACAAGCAGTTCTCAGACGCTAGCACAGTGTCCAAGAATTCAGCTCAGTTCTAGCACTGTCTACCCGGAGATAGTGCCTGATTCCACAGGTAAAGGGCTCAGTCCCACAAGACCAGTCTCCACTTCAAGTGCCAGTTTCAAACCCAGGTTTTTACCTGCACTTCTGACTGACTGGCTGTAATTTAGACATTCCTACAACCCCCCCTCAGATTTGATTCATTTGCTAGAACAGCACACACAACTCAAGAAAACCTTTTTCCTCCCTAGATTGTAGATTTATTACAAAGGATATTAAAGGATATGAATCAATAGCCAAATGAAAAGATACATAGGATGAGGTCCCGAAAGGAGGAGCCTCTGTCCTTGTGGAGCTTGGTTGGGGCCCACCCCAGTGGCACGCAGAAGCACTATATTCCCTTATGTGGAAGCTCTCTGGGAAAAAATAAAAGAACCTATGAGCTGTCCTTATTTGGGGTTTTATGGAAGTTTCATTATGTCTTCATGATTGGCTAAGTCATTGGCCATTAGAGATGGATTCAACCTCCAGCCCCTTCCTCCCCCTCAGAAATCAGGGGGAAAGACTGAAAGTTCCAATCTACAAACCACATGGTTGACTCTTACTGGTAACCAGCCCCCACCCTTGGGTGGGATCCAAAAGTCACCTCATTAACCTCATAACAAGAGACACCATTGTTGCTGTCATCACTTAGGTAATTCCAAGGGGGTTGGGAGCTCTGTGCCAGAAATGGGGACAAAGACCAAATATATTATTATTAGAAGTCACAGTATCACACACACCAAGTTCTTTCAACTGCTTTTCAAAATGAATTCCATATTCTTTATTGTTCCCCACTATGGATATAATTCATTTCATCAATTCTCCTCTCAGAATGTAGCCCCAAGACTTTACCGTAGCTTTCTGGTTATAGCACAGAATCTGGTGGGGCCTCTTATATTATAAACACCAGGGCTTCTGGCTGCTTTCCCCTTCATCTCTCCTCAAAAACAGGAGTTTGATACCAAGTCAAAGACATTACTGGACTTTTTTTTTTTTTTTAAAGATAATTGCTCCTTTAATAGTGCTCCCACTCCAAACACTCTTTTGAGGGGTTTTTCTGTCTCTTTCTCTCCCTCTCCCCCATGACTTCCCCCTCAACAGCCCACCCCATTCCCCCTTTCCTCTCCATGGCCACAGAAATACAATCCATGCATTGGCTTAGGCTTGGTCTGAGCAGGGTGAGAGTGAGGATGGCTCTGGTTCCCCAGAGGCGTATTAGATTGTGTTCTACCAAAAGGAGGAACCAGAAGGAAGCCAAGAAGTTCCCTTAGAACTTGTTACAGAAAGTCAGATTACTGGATGTAAAGATACAATAAGTTTTATTACTCTCATAATGTACATAAAGCTATATTTTCAAAACATGGCAATTTACATTGCTACCAAAGTTATTGAGAATTTAAAATGAACACACATTAGGGTTTTTTGTTTTATTTTTTAACTTAATAATTATGGCATCTTCCTTTATAGGCATTTAATTTGCATTTCTTTAGTGATACTAAACACATTAGTTTTTAGTTATAATGACAAATGTTTGAATGAAAAAGGAAATGTTAGTCTTACAGTTTTTGAAAACATTTATCAGTGGGAGAGAAAAGATGTGTGAAGTTATGTTATTTTCTCAAGTCATGTTTGTTCTGAGGGAAATAAGATTCTAATGACTTTTTTTTTCCTACACACACAGGGCTCACAGAGGTCTAGAAATAGTTTGTGTTCTGCTGGGTAGAGTGGCAAGACCTCTTAATTCAAGAATTCAAGGGACATTGGATAGAGACTACTTACCTTAGTAGTGGGGCTGTGTTATCCCCCAAATAAAAGCTGTTCTATACCCATAAGAAAGCTCAAACACAAGTCTTGAAGATACCAAACTGATTTGCAAGATACTAGCTGCATCTTGTTCAGTAGAACAAAAACTAGAACAATGGACAGCCGTATTTAAAGGAATATAACAAAATTCAGCACCCCAAAAATAAAATTTACAGTATCCTTCATTCAATTAAAAATAGCTGGTCATGTAAATAAGCAGGAAAATATAACCCATAACCAAATGAAAACTCTATCATATACATAGATCCATAAATGATAGAGATGGTGGAACTTGTAGAAAACCACAAATAGAATGAAGATGAATGGAAGATAAACAAAATGCCATCTAGAGATAAACACATTAAAAATGTTTTAAATATACACCGTATGGAAAAAGCAGCAAATTAACCACTATAGAAGAAATGACCCCATGAACTTGAAAGGGTAACAATATAAGCTCTTCAAAATAAGCATAGAGAGGGAAAAGACTAGGGGAAAAAAGCATCAGTGAGCTGTGTGACAATACCAAATGGTGTAAGTTACATGTAATTGGTGTCTCAGAAAAGAAGTGACAGAAAAAAAAGTATGTGAAGAAATAATTATGGTTGAATTTTTCCAAATTTGATAAAAGCTATAAACTCAGAGACTGAGTTCAATGAATCCCAAGAAACAGAAATGTAAAAAAAATCATGCCAAGGCACATTATAATGTGCCATAATAAAATCACTGAAACTCAGTGGTAAAGTGAAAAATCTTCAAAGCAGCAAAGACTAAAAAGAAAACATACACTGCATGTAGTGGGACAAAGATAAAAACAACCAATAGCTTCATGTCAGAAACCTTGCCAGCCAAAAGATGATGGATGACAATTTTATGAAGTGCTTGAAAGAAAGAAAATGTTAACCTAGAATTTTATACCCAGTGAAAATCCCTCTTTAAAATGAAGGTAAAATAAAGACTTTTTCAGACCAATAAATTCAACCACATAGATGAAATGAACACATTTCTTGGAAGACAATGTCTACCAAGACTCACTTAAAATATAATGGATAACCTCAATAATCCTATGTCTAATTTAAAAAAATAAATTGATAGCTAAAATGCCTTCACACAAAGACAACTTCAAGCCCAGATGGTTTCACTGGAGAATTTTTGCAGAGATTCAAGGGAAACATAATACCAATGTACACACAAATTCTTTCAGAAAGAGAATGTTTGCAGATATAATTTATTAAGATGAGGTTATACTGGATTAAAGTGGGCACTAAATTTAAGGGCTGGTGTCTATATAAGGAAAGGAGAGGACATAGATACACACAGGAAAGAGGCCATGTCTCGACAGAGGCAGAGATTGGAGTGATGCAGTTACAATCCAAAGAGCACTAAGGACCACTGGAAGCCAGCAGAAGTTAGGAAGAGGCAGGGAGGGGTTCTTTTCAAGAGCCTGAAGAGGGAGCATGGCCCTGCCAACACCTGATTCCAGACTTTAGCCTCCAGAACTGTGAGAGAATAAATTTCTTATTTTATGCCACCAAGCCTGTGGTCATTTGTTGTGGAGGCCCTAGGAAACTAATACACTTTGCTATACCAAGTGATGTTTTTTAAAATTATGTTTACAATATTAATCTTATACCATATTTGTTTGTTTGCTATTCTAACTAGCCTTCTGTTGGAAAACACAAATTTGGACACTTTCAGTTTACCGTTGCATTAGTCAGTGCTCAGAATGGCACCATGTTCAAAACCCATTACTCTGCTCATCTGTTTTATGTTATTTGTTTGCCTTATTTTTCTCAGAAGTAATGTAAGCTTCCCAAAATTCATTTGGGAAATTATATCATTTCTTCTTTGTCCTGTTGTAGGTATGCGGCTGCCTTCGCTCAGTATGCTAGAGAAACCAACAGTTCTTACAAAGCCAATTATCGAGCCAGAAGAATCCAGCCCCGCCCAGCTCCAGGTAAACTGAGCTCAGCCTATTTGTTTTGCTTTGTTTTTAAAGCTAAAATATTAGTCATAATAATAAATTTAAATTTTTGTTAGTTTAAATAAGTTTAAATATGTGAGACTTAATATTGTGTTTTCCTTTTAAAGCTGCTTTAACTCTTTCTAACAATTTTTTAAAGTAAATTATTTACATAAGAATTGGAGCTTTGAAAAAAAATTGAATTACTTATACTTTCAGGCTCACTACACTATAAAACATACAATTTGAAAATCTAAGGCTAAGTTTCAAAATGTGTAAAAGCATTCAAAACAAGCAAAACAGTAAGTAAACTGATCCCTGAAACTCATTATAGACTGAAAGATATATGCATTAGGGCTGAAAAGAAAGGAATAATGTTAGTTGAGTTGTTTTTGGTGCTCTTTTTGAAAATAATGTTTTTCAAAGACACATTTGAGATACATTGAGGGCAGGTCTTGAGTAGGAAGAGACAGCTGGTAACTTATAGTAGAAATCAGCTAGTGCAGAGGAGAAAGCAAGACATGTGGGGGCAGAGAAGTTGGGTTTAGATAACAGGTCTATCTGTATAGTTATGGGAAAGTCACTTAACCCCTGAGCTTCAGTTTTTTCATTCTCAGCCTGTGCTGAGTATATAGAAAATGTTTAATAAATATTTGTCTCTAATATGCTGCCCTGTCTCACAGGATTCTTGTGACTAAATGGCACCATGTATGTGAAAATCTCTGTGAACTGGAAAGCACTATAAGCGTTAGATATTGTTTTCCTGTCACCTGTTCTTTAAACACAATAGCATGTAAATGCTGGGTGCAGGCAATAACCTCCATGCAGTGATTCTCCAAGGTTCCTGCATCCCTACCTCTACCTTTCTTTTCCCTGGCTCAAATTCTACTTCTCTCCCTCCTCCTCAATCTGGTGTATACTCTGATTTTCGTCTCTAAACCACCAGCCTCAGTTTCTCTATTTAACTTTGCCTTCTTCAAGATTTCCCGCTACCTGCAAGGATTGGTAAGTGTCGCCTTTTCCGGCCTTACTCTCTGCTTCCTCCATGACTTCTCCACTCCCTTCTGCAGCCACTATACTCCAGCATCCCCACCATCTTCACCCATAGAAAGAGATCATTTGGGAAAATTGAGTAATACAATTTCTCCCCAAGCTTTGTCAGACTGCTTTCTACCGCTCAAGTCTGCTTATTAAAATCCTTTGTGTCTCATTTCATTCAGGATAAAATTTAGATTCTTTGACATGGCAAAGTCTTTAATGCTCTAATGTCTTTCTGCCTTTTCAGTGGTATTTCTTAACCACTCCCCCATTCACACCCTCAACATCACACTGAGCTAGGGTCATGATTGTTTTTTTCCTTCCTCATTAAAAAAAAAAAAATTGACAAGTACAGTATGTTTTCTCATACTCCCACTGCAAACAACTTTTCCTCCTTCCTTTCTTTACCTTTCTAGTCCCTCCTCCTCCTCTGAGATTCAGCTCAGGTATTACCTTCTCTAGGAAACCTCCCCAGTGGGCTCTCGCGTAGCATTTTGTCATGCCATATCGTGCTCTATTAGTTTTCTGTTGCTGTGTAACAAATTACCCCATGCTTAATGGTTTAAAACAACACGTATTTATTATTTTACAGTTTCTATGTGGCTAGAGTCCAGGCACAGTGTAGTTGCTCCTCCACTGGGGATCTCATAAGGCTGCAATCAAGGTGTCAGCTGGGCTGCATTCTTACCTGGAGGCTTGAATGGGAAAGGATCTGCTTCCTAGCTCTCGAAGGTTGTTGACAGAATTCACTTCCTTCTGTCCTTAGAACTGAGGCCCCAGCTTCTCCCTGGCTATATGCTGGAGACCTCCCTCAACTCCAAGAGGCTACCTATAGTTCATTGCCATGTGGGCTTTCCCATCATAGCCTCCAGCAAGGAGAGTCTGATAGCAAGATGGCAGAATGGAATATTATGTAACATAACATAATCATGGGAGTGAGGTTCCTCACCTTTGGCATATTTATTGATTAGAAGAAAATGACATGTCCCACCCACTCGTAAAAGGGAGGGGATTACATAAAGGTATGGACACTAGAAGTTGGGGATCATGACAGGCCACAGTAGAGTTTGCTGTCACACATGCTGTGTGATATTAGTCTCTTTTTTGCCAGTGTCCTTCAACAGAAAGTGACCTCCTGAGGGAAGGGGCTGCTTACCCCTCAATCTGCCACAGCACAGTGCTTGGCATATAATAGTTATTCAATGCTCATGAATCAATGAATGAATGAATGATAGAATGAAGTAGAGTTGTCATGCTTTTAGCAACTCTCATATGGAAAAGGGAATAAATCACTGATGAGTGAGAAATATTAAGAAAGGTGAGCTGGAAGAGAGAATATTTTAAGGAATGTCCAGAAATTAATTAGCTCTTCAGTGCTGAGCTTTGTCTTGTTTGAAAATGGAGTAGATGATCCTTTGTGTTTAATCTTATGCTAAGAGAAAAGACTGTACCTAAGAGGTCATGGTAAATTACATTATTGTTTAGAAATATTCACTCCCTATCCTGTTCTACCACCATGGGCAAAATATACTCCCTTGACCCTTGACTTCAAGCTTTTCCTGTGACTTGTTTTGATCAATAGGTTAGTAGGTGTGACATGCTCAGGGTTTAGGAAGGGTTTGTGCAATTTGGCTTGCTCTTTTTTACTCCTGCCATCATCGCAAGAACATGCCTGGACTAGCCCTCTGGTCACAGAGAAAGATGAGAGTCACAGAGCTCAACTTTCCCACCCATGTCTTCCAGCCATGCCCAGCCCAAAGAAGCCAACCCCCAGCTGAACTGAAGATGTGTGACCTAAACAAATGTTTATTGTTGTATGTCACTGAAATTTTGTAGTTGTATATTATGTAGTAACAGTGAACTTTCACAGGATATCAAAAGGAAACATGACTCAGAAAACGAATGAACTTTGTGCTCCTCTTTAGCAGAGAGGGTTAGAATGTCATAGTTTGCCAATGAGAAAATTCACCTGAGATTTAGGAGGTGGGAGAGAAGAACAGACCATTATTCCTTTTTAAAATTTATTTTTCAATTAAAGTTGACATTCAATATTATACTAGTTTCAGGTGTACAACAGAGTGGTTAGACATTTATATAATTTATGAAGTGATCCTCCTAATAAGTCTAGTACCAACCTGGCACCATACATAGTTATTACAGTATTATTGATTATATTCCCTATGCTGTCCTTTACACCCTCGTGGCTATTTTGTAACTACCAGTTTGTATTTCTTAATTCTTTCACCTTTTTCACCCAGCCCTCCATCCTACCTTCCATCTGGAAACCCTTAGTTTGTTCTCTGTATTTATGTATTTATGAGTCTGTTTCTGTTTTGTTTGTTCATTTATTTTATTCTTTAAATTCAACATATAAGTGAAATTATATGGTATTTGTCTTTCTCTGTCTGACTTATTTCACTTAGCATAATACTCTCTGGGTCCATCTATGCTGTCACAAATGGTAAGATTTCATTATATTTTTATGGCAGAGTAATATTCCATTGTATATATGTCCCACCTCTTCTTTACCCAATCATCTGTTGATGGGCACTTGGATTGCTTCTGTATCTTGGCTATTATAAATAATGCTGGAAAGAACATAGAGGTGCATATATCTCATTGAATTTGTGTTTTGGATATCTTCAGATATATACCCAGAAGTAGAATTGCTGGGTCATAAGGTAATTCTATTTTTAATTTTTTGAGAAACCTCTATACTGTTTTCCATAGTGGCTGCACCAGTTTGCAATCCCAGTAAGACTGCACAAGGGTTCCCTTTTCTCCACATACTCACCAACATTTGTTGTTTGTTGGCTTATTGATTACAGCCATTCTCATAGGTATGAGGTGATATTGTCACTTTAATTTGCATTTCTCTGATGATTATTGAGCATCTTTTCATATGTCTATTGACCATCTGTATGTCCTTTGGAGAAGTGTCTATTCAGGTCCTTTGCCTATTTTTTAATTGGATTGTTTTTTTTATGTTGAATTGTCTGAGTTCTTTATAAATTTTGGATATTAACCCCTTATCAGATGTGTCATTGGTGAATATGTTCTCCCATTCTGTAGGTTCTTTTGTTTTATTGATGGTTTCCTTTGCAAAACCTTTTTATTTTATTTTTTTATTTTTTAAAAAATATATATTGATTTCAGAGAGAGGAAAGGAGAGGGAGAGAGAGAGACAGAAACATCAATGATGAGAGAGTCATTGATCAAGCCCACAACCCGGGCATGTGCCCTGACCAGGAATCGAATCCCGATCGCCTGGATCCTAGGTTGACGCTCAACAGCTGAGCCACCTTTTTAGTTTGATGAAGTTTGTTTGTTTATTTTTTCTTTTGTTTCCTTTGCCTGAGGAGATATATCAGAAAAAAATATTAGTAAGACCAATGTCAGAAAGTTTATTGCCTATGTTTTCTTCTAGGAGTTTTATGGTTTCCAGATCTTACAATTAACTGTTGAATCCATTTTGAATTTATTCTTGTACATGATATAAAAGGTGGTCTAGTTTCGTTCCTTTTTTTTTTTTTTTTTTGCATGTACCTGTCTAATTTCCCCACCACCATTTAGAATAGACTATCTTTATCCCATTATATATTCTTGCTTCCTTTGTCATACATTAATTGACCATATAGATGTGGGTTTATTTCTGGGCTTTCTGTTCTGTTCCATTGGTTTGCGTGTCTGTTTTTATGCCAGTACCATGCTGTTTTGAGTTACTGTGGCCTTGAATAGTTTGATATCAGGTAGTGTGCTTCCTCCCACTTTGTTCTTCCTACTCAGGATTGCTGTGGCTACTCAGGGCGGCCATTAGTCTTGAGAAGTTGTGTATATCATACACGGCAGCCTCCTCAGACCCAGCACTTTCATGCAACTCTTTACAAATTCTCACTTTACAGATATGATGGCTTCACAAATATATCCATGAACTCATAATTTTTGTACCACTCTGAGTGGCAGGATGTGTGCAGCTCCTTGTACTTCCCCATGAACTGGTTTTCCTACTCATATCAGTGCTTCAGGCTAAAGTAGACAGTGACTGGTTTTCCAGTTCTCCAGCTGTAGCCTTCAAGGCCTTCACTCCCCCAGGTCCTCCCACACCTGTATGATCCCAGTTTCCTGCATTAAACCTCTCATTCCTGTATTACTTACAGTGGCTCTGTTTTCTTAACTGAATGCAGACTGATACAGAAGTGAATGGAAATAAAGCATTTGGCAAAAATCAGAGCCCACCTATCAGAACAAATTTTAATATCTTCACTAATTATTTTAAGATTAAATAATTATAAGAAGCAGAGTTTCTAGGATTCATCCAAAGAAAAACAAACTATAAGGCAATTATAATTTGTGCTTCCATAACTTATTTTAACAGTAACATAGTTATTGATTCCCAAGGATTCTCAGAGGGATTTTATAATACTTAAGTTTTTCTGGAGGAAAGAAGTTCAAATAGTATTTATTTTTCCAATGTCATAAGAATCATTTCTATATTTATTTTGCATTAAGCTCTGCTGATGTAATTAGGATTTCTTTTTATGTTCCTTGGGACTTTTTAAAACAGGGCAGGAACTAGAAGGCAAATGATTAAAATGACTGACACCCTCCATTCATTCCACCCTAAACTGGTGTCAGCTAATCACATTTTCCTTGCCAGCGACTAGTTTCAGAGTTCTGCCTGAAAGGAAATATATTGGGGCCCTCAGTAAATGGTTTTCTATTCTTAAAAATGAGATCCTGGAGTGAAGACCTCCCTTCCTCCACCTGGATGTTGTTATTGGAGACCTCGGGGTTGACCAAAATGAAAAGAATGGTTTATAATAAAGTCAATTGCAAAACATAAAATTTAGAAAGTTGAGAAAGCTTGCTTGTGCTCACACACATGGTCCTAGACATTATATTGAATTTCCTGCCTCGTCTATTACATTTCTGTTTTCATTATTTCTTTTTGTTGTTCTGTGTGTTTTTTCCAGATCCACAAACTGAAACAGAGATTGTCATAAAGACTCATGAAGCAGAGGAGGGGTGGAAGAGTGATAGTGATCACATTGATGAGTCATGGGAAGATGAAGTGGAGGATCTGGTCGCCTGGACCAACAGTCTTGATGCAGCTACTTTAGAAGATTAAGCCTCAGGCTCCAGGATTTAAAAAATAAAACAGCCTCAACCACAGCTCAGCTTCATGTAGAAACTTTGGAAGGCTCTCAGAACTCGGATTCCATTTTTCTTTTCCAAGCTGGTCTCATCCTCTCACTGCAAGTACAAATTAGAAATATAAGTAAAAATCAGTGAATGTGTTACTTTGAATCTTCTTGAGCCCCACTTGGTTGTTTGAACCTAAGTTAGCCAAGTTAGGGGTGTTCCTTGCAGTATTCCAATCAGTGCTATTATACCCACGGCTGCTAAGTGACTGGATAGAGGTTTCCGCAGGCCGGATGTAGGTCAGGAGAAGCTGAGATGGAAGGGGAGCACTCAGGAGCTCTGCATCTGGACATTAATCCAGATACAGGGGCCTGCACATTTCTCTCCATCCATCTTGTTTATGGTCTTTCTTCCTCCACATTCAAAGGATGAAATGTGACCTGTCCATCAGCGTTCCTCCTCTGTTTTCTCCCAGAATACATGCCGTTTTCTCTTTGACCAGCCCTCGCCTCAAATTTTCATATCTGTAATCTCTCCCCCTTTTTGCTGTGTTGCCTCAACCTGCAAATATGCTTTGGGTTGCTCCTGTTCTAAAATACCTCTCCCCCTGTGGCCCTGCATTTCTACCTCCCTCAGCACTATATCATTCATATTTTCTGTCGGATTTATGAATCATACTCTATCACTTACTCTCTTTATTTCTTTAGTTCACTTTACACTTGCAAATAAAAAAATCTATCTTCTGCTTAAACTACTCAATTAAAATTCCCTAGGGTCACAAAAGACTTCTCTATTGCCAAAATTCAACAGATGCCTTATCTCATTGGGTCTCTGGGCTATATGTAATATTGTTGATCATTTCTCTTTCTCTTTTTAAAAATGTTTATTGCCTTGCCTTCAGACAGACCTACTTTGAGACTTACCTACCCACACAGCTCTCCCCACGAACACCATAAATATCTATAGATATGAGTATATGTGTGTATATCTAGGTAGATAGATGATAGATAGATGATTGATGATAGATAGATAGATGATAGATAGATAGATAGATAGATAGATAGATAGATAGATAGATAGATAGATAGACAGACAGACAGACAGACAGACATGCCTGAGCTTGGATCTAGTTATTAAATAGGTCTGTCCCGTGTTTCTGGGGAAGCTGATTTTAGTTCCTGTGAAGAAAGAAGAGTTCTATTGTATGTACCCTGGTGTCTGTACCCTTCCCTGGCCAGCTGCTTATTTTCAAGTCTGCCCTGACTGATAGCAGTGCCTAGCACTTTTGTTACCCTCCCCAACCCGAACTACATGTAACATGCTCTTTCCTGCTTCCCTGACTCCTGTGCTGATGCCATATTCTCTACCCAAAATACCTTTTCTCTTCTTCACTTGCCTACAACTAAATTCAGGTATCATCTCCACAGTCTTCTCTGCACACCACACACCCTCCCCAGGCTCCTCTCTCTGTCTTTCTGTCTTTCTCTCTCTCTCTGTATCTGTCTCTCCATAGAGTGTGTGCATATGTGTGTACAGTTTATTGAAATTGTCTGCTTGCCCCCTGACTCTCCCACTAAACCTTCAAAGTGTAAACCAACCAGATAGATTCCATCTTAGAGATATTTAATAATACAGAGCCCACATATCAACAGTTGCCACACTTTCTTCACCTCAAACAAAAGTTCTTGTTTCACTGTCTTAGAATCTGCTATTAAAAAATAAACTTGGAAAATTTACCAAATTGGTGAACCTGAAAATAACAAAAAGGGAAGGAAGCTTTATTAATAAGCAGGAATACCTTGAGAGAGCTGATTCTGGAAGAAGATGCTGGGTGTTTTTAGTGAGGTATGAGTCACATACAAGAAATTGAAGTATACTATTTAAAGTATACAGTTTGGTAAGTTTTGGTATATGATACACCCATGTAATCATCACTACGATCAAGATTGAAAACATACCTGCCATCCGAAGTTCTCAGTCTTGATCGTAGTGATGATTACATGGGTACCTCATGTATCAAAATTTATCAAAATATATTTTCTCCATTGAGTTATCTTAGTACCTTTATCAAAATTCATCTATCCATCTATACATGGGTCTATTTCTGACTCTCTGTTCCAACGATTTGTTTGTGTATCTTTACACCAAGACCATATTGTCTTATTTACTATAGTTTTATTATGTCTTAAAACAAGATGTTAGCCATCTAGTTTTCTTTTTTTCCCAAACTTGGCTTGATTATTCCACAGCCTTTACATTTCTTATGAATTTTAGAATAAGCCCATACATTTCTACAAAAAATCATCCGGGGATTTGTATTGGGATTGCATTCAATCCGTGGATCAGTTTGGAAATAATTCACATCTTAACTGTATTGAGGCTTCCTGTTCATGACTTCTCCATTTATTTGGGTGTTCTCTAATATCCCTGAGCCATGCTTTGTGATTCAGTTGTCCATGTGTTGAATATCTTTTGCCAGATTTTCCCTGTTTTATAATTTTGTTTCTGTTGCAAATAGCATTATTTTAAAATTTCCAATTGTTCTTTGCTAGTGTATAATATAGAAACACAGTTGGTTTCTGCATATTGATCTTGTATTATGCAGCACTGCGAATCTCATTGGTTACTTCTAGCAGCTATTTTGTAGATTCTGTCAGATTTTCTATAGAGACAATAGTGCTATTTTCAAAGAAAGACAGTTTTGCTTCTTCCTTTCAGTCTACAGTAGATGTATTTACTTCATTTTCCTGCCTTCCTGCCCTGGCTAGAACTTCCAGTACAATGTTGAAAAGAAGTAGTGAAAGTGAACATCTTCAGTCTTGTTCCTGAGCCTGGGAGGAAAGCAGTCTTTGTCATCAAATAGGACGCTGGCTGTAGCTTTTTCAAAGATGCCCTTTATTCAGTCAAGGAAGTTTCCTGTTATTCGCAATTGCTGAGAGTTTTATTGGAAATGGAAATTAGATTTGGTCAGATCCTGTTTCTTTTTTTAAAAAAAATATATCTTTATTGATTTCAGAGAGAGGAAGGGGGAGAGAGAGAGTTGAAACATCAATGATGAGAGAATCGTTATTGATCGGCTGCCTACTACACACCCCCTACGTGGAGATCAAGCCCGCAACCCAGGCATGTGCCCTGACCCGGAATTGAACTGCGATCTTCTGGATCCTAGGTCCACGTTCAACCGCTGAGCCATGCCCAGCCAGGCTCCTTTTTCTGTGTATATTGAAATAAGCATAAGATTTTCTTTTTTATTAATGTGGTAGATTACATTGATTTGTTTTTTTAAATATTAAACCAAGTCTGCATTCTAGGATAAATTCCACTTGGTTATGGTTTATTCTCTTTCTTTTTTATTTATTATTTTTTTATTCATTTATTTATTTATTTATTT